TGGGTCCAACAAACATTGACTCAGAACGTCAACTACCAACGCACCCAGGGTACCTTTCACGTTGTATCTGGACGTGGAAAGTCCATGACCAAAACGTCAATATGTGACGAGGTCAGAGTGAGAATGTGTTGGAAAAACCGAACAAAACTCTTCCAACAAATCTCCCTCCAGATAAGGAAACTTGTAGTTCCTCTGTATTTGGCAAACCCTATGGTACTCCACCTGAGTGAGAACCCTGCTGTCTTCCTCGCCCCATTTCCTTTTAATATACAGTGACTCTTCTGATTTTCTGTTTGAAAAAAAGTTGTATATCCTGCTTGCTTTCAGAGTCATAGGCAGATCTAAAGAGTCTAGGGTTACTAAATCAGTGTCTTCATCGCAGAATCATCACAGCTTAGACCTGGCTGGGCAAACCTTATGTCGGTACAGCTGGGATGTTGAAGCTTCCATGCATGTTTCTGGAGCTGCCATCTCTACTCCACATCACACTCCCAGCCCATCCTTCACCTCCAATCATAAGGTGGCAATAAGACGATTAAAGGCATCAGTATGCTTTTAACAAACTTCATCTATCTCGCCCCTTTCGATGAGAGTGTGGCTGTTCTACAGGTACAAGCCACATCATTTGAAGCATAGTGAACCCTTAAACCTCACTGATCCACTCTCAGCTTTTTCCATTTAAAAAAAGTCCAGAAGACTCTTCTTTCCTACAACTTCAATTTTTATTTAAACCTAAAAACTGTTGTGACAGCTTCCCACTTGCGCAGATCCAATCCTAAATCACAGTTAATAACATTTAGCAGTTTGCTAACGCAGCTTGAAGAGCTTAAAATGAGAGGGCTTCCCTGTGGTTGCCTTCATTTCATTGCAGTAGATCTGGCTAGCCGCATTTTTCAGTATCATCACCTACAGTAATAGCAAAGCTATTAAAATCAAAGTCATTTTATAACTCCAGCCCCAAAAATACTCAACAGAGGTATTTTCCGAGTCTCGACTAATCTTCACGCTGCACATTGCAATTTGGAGATGTCACAATAAACCTTCCTTTGGCAGGTAAATTAATATGATTGATAGCTCAGATTCAATGAGGAAACTGACATGTTTCTCCAAAGTGTCTCAAGGTCTGTGATCCACATATTAGTAAAAGCCAAATAAATATTGAAAGCATGTCCTTTAAACGTCTTTGCTAATTTATCAAAGCTGTCAGCGGCTCCTATAAACACCCAACCCACTGTTTAAAGCCATTCAAATATTTAGCTGTATGTGTCTGGCCAAGGTGTTGAGGACTGTTAGATGATACAAGACTGACCTGACAGCTTCTTCTAATATTACATGACAATGACTGTTCAACAAAGACAAGAAAAAAAAGGAATCACCATTGTTTTTGCAGCCTGAGTACGGAGAGCTTTGTCCAATTATTGTGAACCACCTGTTGGATTTTAAACAACAGAATAGCAAGATGTCAGAAACAATCATTTACACAATCCGTGACCATGTCCAGCTCCAGCAAGAGGTTTATATTGTCGGCTGGATGGATCTCGCCTGGCTCCAACTGCAGCTCTAATATGGAGCAGTCCATACAAAATATATTTCACCAAATGATGGTGTTGCTTAACATGACGTGCATATCAGCCTACATGATGTAAAGACTAACAGATCTCTATAAAAATAAGTACTTCCAAAAACAAAGGGGCCGATGGAGTTTGCCTCCCTATGGGAGGAAAGGTGTTCTCCCTGTTTTTCACAGTGTGTTGTTTGAGGAAACACTGCCCCCCAGTGGGGTTATGCTTAATCCTTTTATATACATTCATCAGGCAGAAAAACTCATTTTCAAGTTTTCTTTTAAAGGGCATCACCACCTCAGTTAATAATTCCAATATGTTATTTCCATGGCCTGGGAAAGTTCAATCAATATTAGTGAACATGAGCTACTCTCTCTCAAAACAGAAACCAGAGAAGTAAGTCTCAAGCTTGTGGTGTCGTAGGGTATTAGGAGATGAGTTGGGAGTGAAACCAGGTTGTTTCTGACCATCATCTTTGTTCCAACATGGAAACAGGCTACTGTTTTTATACTTTTGTATACTTTTAATCCAGACAGACGATGATTGAAGATTCAGGAAATACATGGAAAACTGTAATAAACGTTCAATGTCCTCATGTGTTTGCCATCATTTACTAATGATATTTGTACACGGATGCAATCCTACAAGACAAACTCAGGGGTTCAGCTGAACAGAAGTTTAAGGTGTTGCTTAATTCATCTGGATCTTAACGGCGGTGGCAGGATGATCACTCCTGATGAAAGCTGAAAGGAAATCAGGAGTGCGAAAGAGAGTCTACTAGGGCCAAAATCCAAGATCTGCCTTGGAACATGGAATGTCCGAACCATGTACAAGACCACCAAGACAGCACAAGTCATCAGTGAGATGAAAAGATGCCACGTGGACATCCTGGGGACAAGTGAAAGTCACTGGACTGGTTCTGGACGCCAAGTGCTGTATGATGGTTCCTTCATCCTCCATTCAGACCATGAGAATACCCACACACATGGCGTAGCTGTCATAATCTCAAAGGAGAAAGCCAACATGTCACTGATCATGTCAAAATATGGAAAAGTCAAACAGCTGTCCCTTGTGCTAGAACTGTTTAAGGTTTTCCACTGGTGGCAAACTGTGCAAACACAGCGTCCCTCTTTCAACCACCTTCTTAAAAAGGTCAGCGTTGTGACATTTCCAAAAAACTGTTTATATCCAAGTCTATGATAATGTTCAAAAGTAGGTATGTTTCTCTTTCTGACCAGAAGTGTGGGCTTTTCTTTTGGGCACTCAACCTTGGAAACTGTTGGCTATTTGGTTTGTGTACATCATATCCATGACAACGCACAGAGCTGACAGTAAACAGGCAAAAGATCGATTGAGATGCATATCCTGAATGCACTGTATACATGTCTAAAGAATGCTATTAAAACCCAAATAGTATCGCCATATCCCACATGTCTTAATCAGAAAATGCTACATTCGTCCAAATAGAAAATGCTGTTTTCATGAACCATGTCAAATTCGGGATATTGTCATATTCTGAATAATTGGATTGGATTGGATTTAGTAGAGAGGTGATAATGTTTATTTATATTTTTGGACTGCCTTATACCAAAGGAATAACATATATGAATTCTGGAAATGGGGGAAGAATAATGGCAGAAAGCAGAGTTTGTTTTAATTTCCTATTTGAAATGATAAATTGTATAGCATCAATGATAGCTATTAATCTTAAAAATAGCATAACATGCAGCTATTATGTAGAGAAATCAACTTAACCCTTTGAAACCTGGAGCAACAGCACTTTTCTTGTGTTGGTTTCGGACGCCTTTTGCAAGTATTTAAGCCTTTAAACCCTGAGCAAACTGATGCAGCTTCTTTCCGAAACATGGGGAAAAAGGCAACGAGCACCTTGTTAAGAATGTCTCACTCGGACCTCGTCACGTATTGACGTTTGGTCATGGACTTTCCACGTCCACATATGACATGCAAGGTACCCTGGGTGTGTTGGTTATTGACGTTCTGGGACGCCATGTCAAGTTCTGCCTGTTACATGCATTGTCTTCTTTCAAAATACACTTCTGTTTTCACAGGAAGTTTAACATTTACATACACTCTCCTTCAAAATAAAAGCACTACATCGGTACAACACCGCAAATTGATGTTTTTTTTTTCCTTCAACAACAAACACACATGGTTGGGTTTAGGAAAAAAGAACAGGGTTTGGCTTTATAGTCTTATGGGACGAGACCACCAACCTTCCCACCTACCCCATACGAACATTCGCCGCCTTAACTTTCGTCCATGTCCCGCCATGTTTCCCCCTGATGCCACCGGGCGCCATTAAACTATAATGGCAACTGGCCACGTATCATGTCAGCGTTAAAGGACGCCTTTTTTTGTTGGTGTCTGATGCCGCCCACGCACCAGATTTCGATGACTTCGATGTGATATTTAAAATAATGTTACAGTATTATTATAATTTTTAAGCTTTTTCCAGGTCACTTCCTTGTTTGTTTGTTTTCAACTTTTTTTTCTTTTTTTTTTCTTTTTAATTTTCTATTTTTTACTAATTTCTTGCTAATTTTTTGGGTCATTTCTTCTTTTGTTGCCCATTGCCTTCTTCCCAAGGCAATTTGCTCAGGTTTCAAAGGGTTAATATGTCTTTTAATAGGATTTGGTTTATATGTTACCGTATTGTGTCACTCATAGCTGTCTGTTGATAGAGTTACTGTGGTGAAATCAACCATGGATCCCTCTACCAATCTTCAGTGAATGATTTGTGGAAACCTAGGATATAAAATGCTTCTCTGTCAAAGCATTGGCAGCAGTCTAATTTTGTTTATAACGAGGCAGAAAATCACTTGAAATGTAGGTCACAAAATGTGTCTCTGCAGCAGAATTCATACATTTCCACTTTATTTATGACTTTGAGCCTTATCCCTTAAAATTACACCTGTGTGATATAACCTTGTTGCTAAAATGATGTCATTTTGGTTGCCATTTGCAGGGGTATGATTTTCCAGAGCTAACACACCAGTATGAGGTTATGGTCCTTTGACAGCTTGGCTCACATGTGGCTTTAACATGTGTGAGGCATTTCTTTGACAGCGACACTACCCAGCCCTCTGGACAGTGAAAACAAAGGCCAGGCTTTGTTGAAAGGTCTCGCATGCGTCTGCGTTATGTGTTGCTGAGTTCACGTGAGGAGGAGTTTAAATCAAAGCTGAGCATATGTTAAATGTCAGCGTTGGCCCGGAGGTCCTGACTGAGCAAACAGATTACCGAAGATGTTGACTTACATCCAGGCCCTGGGGAATGTGATTAGTCTTTAGATGTTTCCCTGTGAAATCCTGAAACGCTTAAGACCTTTACGATACATGATCGTCTGTGAAATGATGCTGAGTTGTGAAATCTTAATGCCATTCTCAGTTATACCCGATTGACAGGGAACGCTGCAGATTGTTTGGGAGTAGTTTAATTTCACACAGATGTTGAATATGATGGTCTGAAGAAGATGTAAACAAGGTTGGAAAAGCATCCATCCAGCTGTTGTTACATAGAGGATATTTCAAACAATTATCCGTCACTCATACAGTAAAACATGAGTGCACGTGTGATAACTGGGAGTTCCTACAGAGAGAAGTTATGCTGGGCAGATCAGTTTGTTAAATGCTGGCAGACATAGTCACAGAAAGCAGGTTGTGGGCATCTAGTGTACTTCTTAAAAATCTCTAACATGCAAAGATGGATGACGATAAAATAATATATGCCAAAGCACATATTAGGCAGATCATATTGTGGTTTAGTTCACACAGAAATGTCTGACCATGCTGGTGTTTTTGCACATTTGATCCCATTTACTATAAATCAGGTATGCCTTATATGAGCACTGAAGACTTACAGCACAGTATGAAAATCTACATTTGCTGTTATGTGTCAAAGCTGCTACAGTTGCATGGCATGCAGGCGAAAGTCCAAAAATTTGGACATGTAATTTCAATTTTGTCAGAGAGGGATGGTACATTCACGCGCTATTTTTTGGTCTGTATATATTTGTATTTGCACTCTACATATTTGTGGTGTTTTCTACTTACTGCAACTGCTGCGCTCACTCATGATTAAGTTCTGTCTTCTCTTATTTTATTACATGGATCATAAAAACAAAGTGCACAGCTAAAAAATAATCAGGCAACTTTCATTTTTTTTAATCTTTGACATCTAATTTATTCATACCTGCTACCATAATATAGCTTGTGAATACAACGCTGTTTTGAAGCTGATTCTTGAAGGAGCTCTATATGATATTCAGAGCATGTCTGTGATTCAGAGTCTGAGCAAGGATTGTCTGCACACGGCTCTCAACATGGAGGTGGCTGAGCCGGTGGCTAGCGGCTCACGGCTAACAGTGCTAACACCACAAACATCCTTCAACAACATTTTGCCAACACACACGTTTCAGTTTTGGATAAAAGAACAGGGTTTGGCTTTAGAATAATTCGGGACGTGAACGCCACTCTTCCGGGTAAAATTCTGTGTTTGTTGGACCCATCCAACGCCCTCCCACCTGGTCTAGTTGGACTTTCACCACCTTTACTTTTGTTTTTGTCCCACTTCGTTTCCCCCTGATGCCACTGAGTGCCATATATCATGCAGACGTTAAAGGACAGCTTTTTTCGTCAGCGTCTGACGCCGCAAGTCACTGCCCAAGCAACGGATTTCGACGACTTTGGAGTGAGAGTGGGCTCATCAGGACAGTGTGATGGCCCAAGGGCCTCTGCCAAGGCTTACATGTGTTGCGTGTATTTTCAGTGTTGCTGCTTCCTGACTGATAAGAGCTGGAGGTTGTTAAGGAATTGGAAGCAGCTGGCCACTGTCTCCAGGTTGCTTAAAACCCGCCCCATTCTGGTCGTCTTTAAGACTTCTTATCCCTGGTGCCACATGATGTTATTTGTCAAATTTTTTTATTTTTGTGCATAGTACAATTTTTGCATGATTTCTAGTTTACCTGGTAGCATGTTTTCCTGCCAGCATCTGTTGTTAGCTTTGTCATTTTTGCATTTGTTTAAAGTTTTTTCTTTTAGTTTATCCCTCACATGTGCTTACCTTATTTGTTGCGGACTCAGAGCCAGGCCATTACTGGCGTTCTCAGCATTAGCTGCTGTATGAGCGCAGTGCAGAGTGGTGACAATTACTGTAGCTAGCTAGTGGGATACACTGCACGTGTGGCTGGGCCATCTACCTCAACAAAGGACAGAGAAGCTCGTATTACAACACATAGAAAGGTAGAGTGACTATTTCTCTGCTCAGGACGCTATTAGTCCACCATATCTTTACACAGCAAATAGCTGTTTAACCACTATATCAGTGTTCTGAATGTCGTATGGAGCTCCTTTAAAAAGTTTATCTACAAAGCCACACTAGATATGATAAATGTGATTTATAAGAAATGGCAGAAACATGTAAAACTACCAGTATGATCCTTTGGCGTGTAATGCAGCAGTCACGTACTGATGATGAATAAAAGTGCATTTTGTGCAACCAGCAACACAGAAAACAAGACAATCAAGGTTTGATTCAGTTACATATTATTAATGTCTGCTAAATGATCAAATTCCTCCCTGCACTTTAACTTCACACAATTTAAATTATGATTTAGGCGACCTTTGTCGTATTTTTTTCTGTTTTTCTACCTCCCAGTCCCCAGTTCAGTCCCAAAGCAACTCCAGCCCTTGTTGGCTCCCTCAGAAGGAGACAGCCAGCCTCTTCTTCATGTAAAGAAAAGCTAGGTACGTAGCTCCTCCTAGAACGCCTATCAACAGAGTGGTGCCAAGGATAACTGGCGCGTTCTTCCTGGCCACACGGAACGCCACAGGAAGGACAGCAGAGATCAGGATGTTGTTGACATGGCCCAGGACTCTCCTAAAGGCCGGGCGCTCCACCACACGATTGTAATAAGTCTCCAGGTTCACACGGTTACCGTTGCCCCAGAAGCGGCGGGAGAGGCCGAGGAACTTGAGGCGGTGTAGGGTGACTGCCAGAGAGACGTCGGCCATGCTGAAGAAATCACCACACAGCCAGGACTGACTGCCTTCTTCTGAGAGAACGAGACAAAGAGTACGTAAGAACAACAAATAACATGACGTTCAAAATGCTCAAATTCTGACTGTGTTACAGAGCACGTGTGTAAATATTATTACAGTCATAAAAATGTGATTGTGTCTTTTATTGTGTGTTTGTAAAGTGGTTGCTAAGTAACAAGCTGTTGTGGATGTGCACCTGGTGTTTCTTCCACCCTCCTCTGTAGCTCCGTCTCGACCTGGTCCATCACACTCTCCAGTTCATCCAGAAGCTTCTTCAGGTACTTCATGTTGTCATGGTCAAACAGCTTCGACTGCAGAAACATTTTAGCACATATTTACTTATGTGCATTACACAATGTGGACAGAATGCATTTTCTTTTTAGGTTTGTCGCCAAACTGCACATAGAAAGGTTGTTATGCCTCATTTTTGCCTTTTTAGGCTGATTATTTTGCCAAAACATCGTGGCCATAACACCTACAAAATGACTATACACCTACATCCACTATTAATTGTATTAAACTCAATTTAATACATACATTTTAAATTGAATGCATTTAAATGTGTGATTTAAAACTACCTTAGGCACAAAAAACCCCCCCACAGGATCCCACTAGAGTCTAAAGTCAAATTCTCCCCTTCTGTTCCTGAGATGTGATGTTGAATAATGGCCAGAAAAGTGTTTTATACAGAATATTATGATGTTAGAGTGAAGATGACCTTTGACATTTTGGATATAAAATGTCATCACTTCAACATTTTATCCTTTTGGACATTTGTATTAAGTTTTGTCATACTTAGCATAGGACTTTTAGAATTATGGCCAAAAACATGTTTTGTGAGGTCACACTGACCTTTACCTTCGACCAGCAAATTCTAATTAGCTTTTTCTCGAGTCCAAGGTCTTCTTGAGATATCATGGTCACACTGACCTTGACCTTTGACCACCTAAATCTAATCGGTTCACCATTCAGTCCAAGTGGACATTTGTGCCGAGTTGGAAGAAATTCCTTAAAGGTGTTCTTGAGATATCACGTTCCAAAGATTGAGATGGATGCAAGATCATGGTGAGCTTGACCTTTGATCCTTGACCCCTAAAATCTAATCAGCTCATAATTGAGTCCAAGTGAACGCTTGTGCCCAAATTAAAGAAATCCCTGAAGGTGTTCTTGAGATACTGCGGTCACAAGAATTAGACAGATGTGGTCACAGTTACCTTGTCCTTTGACCACCACAATCTTATTAGAACATCGTCAAGTCAAAGTGAACATTTGTGCTAAATTTGAAGAAATTCCCTCTAGAGTTGGGTCGGTTCTCGGTAATACCAATTCGGTTCGGTACTGAGCTAGGGGGTGCGAGTGCGCATGCGCCGAGGCCTCTACTGTAGCCTGGAGTTTGTTTAACAGTGACAGGGAGTCGATAATGGCGGACAATTTAGTCTCGAAGAAATCAAAGAATGCGCTAATATGGCAACACTTTGGCTTTGAGCCAGACGAAGGAGGCAACCCTTGTTTGCAGTGATTGAGTAAGCTAAACCTGCAAATTTATTTGTAAGGAATAAAAGAAACAATGCGTTACTGTCACTCTGTTGTCCTATGGTCGTTTTTTATTTTAAATGAGTCGACTGCGCCCGCAAGCGGCGAAAATCCGGTATTACCGAGTTGATGCGGTTTTTCACAAAAACCGGACTGTTTTTTTTTTTTTTTTTTTCCTCATACTGACCCAACCCTAATTCCCTCAAGGTGTAATTGAGATATCGCATTAACAAGAATGGGATGGACAGACAGACGGACAGATGTATGGACGGACAACCCAAATCATAATGCCTCTGGCTATGGCTATCACCAGCATGGAGGCATAAAAACCACATGCAGTATCTGGGAGAAATAAGTTTAGTTTGAGCTGCACTAAGGCTTGCCGAGGCTTCCTGTATGTCACTAGCTAGCTAGTTTGCACTCTTGATTTAGCTAGCTGCTAACAATAACTGATCCACTGTTATTCAATTTAGACCAAGTAGCCTATGTAGTTTTTGTGGCTGTGTTTTGGCGCTGTGGGGCAGAATGGGTCATGGAGTGCACAAATGTCAAGGTCCAGTGTATATCACAAAAAAAATCTATGCATTTATCAACAATGTTTTTCCCACATATGTTCAGTCTAAGTTTGGGTCAATATTGCAACAATATGTGCTTCATAGAGCTCAAGAAATAGCTCTGTACACTGTTAATCTTAATTGCAATATAGCAGATGACAATCAGACTCAAGATCTCAGTGTGAAAATACAGTTAGCGTCATGAAGTGGGATAGCCAACTCACTGATGGTGCAAACTAACTAACACACAAATGACAGCAACTAGCATAAACTATCATGTTCTCAACAGATACACCATAGATAATAACAAAAAAAATAACAAAAACAGCAAACTACAAACTACTCAGTTCAGCATGATGGGAAATGTGGGTGTCACCACAACATGTAGAAATCACCCACCTACAGCTTACAGCCCACTGATGTTAAAGGCCACTCCTTGAAACTCACACCCTCAAATTTGCAGGCAAGACCATTTTCTTGAGTTTAGACATTGATATCTTCGCAGTGGCTGAACAGATTTTCAGCACTCAAGCTCCTCTTCATGCTTGTGAGGAGCTTGTGCAATTTAAACTGTGAACGTAACCCTTACCAACCTCTGATAAGATTAGTTTGTATCGAGAGACATATTTAAATATTTGTAAATCTTTTTTGTAAATCAAACAGTTTTGCTCATTTCACGCTCTGCTAACTTGAATCACTTACTTTCAAGCGCCTCTGTTTGGCTATATAAGCATCTTTAAGCTCCGGGTTCTGCTCTGCCAGTTTCTTCAGCTCAGACTGTGTGTTCCCGATCTGTGCTGTCACACAAAAACACAGCATCTTGTTAGAGACAATGACTTATACCATGATTTTCATTACTACAAAACTTTATAAAACATGCAGACAGGAATGAAAGTCTTAGTAGATTAGTAGATCTTCTTCTTTGGTAGATCTTCATGGTACTGTTTGGGCACAGAGTGAGATCTCTGTGGGGCTTTAATTGTAGGCCACCAAGTGATTTGACAGGGTGGACACTGCTTTGTGTGTATGCATAAATGCTTCAGGAGCAAAACTGTATAAATCTACCCAAGTTCATCCCAGTGTGTCTTACTTCGTATACATGTAGCAGCGTACGCTGGTATGTGGGAGTCCACTGTGATCTCAGGGTGGAGGATGCAGCCGTGGGTGTAGGCGTCCATCTGTAGTGAGTCCAGCAGCTCTCTGTAGTGCTGCACTCTGTGGTAGTATGTGCTGCCCTCTTCAGGGATCAGCTTGGGAGTGCCTTCTGGACACAAACAGGTCATGATAAAGAAGGAGCAATGGTGAAAAGGGTCACTTTATTACACAGCAAGCCTGTCCATGGAGGACAATACATGAGGGTTCGGAAGAATTGTGTATTTTAATGTTTAATTTCACAGTAGGTATTTAAACACAACATTTTTGTTATCTTCAATAGTTCAATGCTTACCAGATGTTCTGTCCTTTTAGGGCAGCTGGATGAGACTCTTAGAACAAAGCTATCATGGATCAGTGCAAAAAAATAGAAAATTAAAACAAAATGACTGAAAAAATCAACACATGCACAACACAAAATGTACGACAAATTAAAGGGAGACACCCAAAGTGAATTAGGTTAACTTTTAAAACTAAGAGATATCACCATGAAACATTTGCAAGTGATCATTTATAGTGAGACAAATATTTTCTGTATTACAAGTCTTTTGAAATTTTATGTTTTAATATGCCAATGTAGCATTGTCTAATTAAATATATGCTAATTTGCAGACATTTCCAGGACAGAAGACGGTGTCTTTGCCTCAGCAGCTGTTGGTTCAATACCAACCCACGGCCCTTTGCTGCATGTCGTTCCCCCTCTTTCTCCCCCTTTCACACCATAGCTGTCCTGTCAAATCATAATAAAAAAAAGGCAAAAAGCCCCCAAAAATACCTCTAAAAAAAAGGATTCTTGTTCGTTGACATAGAAGCGTCAATGTTTTTAACAATTGAATTTTGGATTTCTGTATTATCACTTCATAAATACTGTCAACAGCCATAAAAACAATCCAATTTCACCATGTTTAAAGGAATAAAATGATCTATAAATCATGCTATGAATAATATATGAACAAACTCCTCTGTAAAAACCTTCAGAATATAGATAGTTATAAAACTGGAACGTTTGGTGTACGTAGGTGTGGCTCAGAGTATGAGAAAAAAATAATTTTGAGAAATTTATCTTTGAAGATATGGATTGCAAAATCCCATATATTAGATAAGAAACTAGGGTAAAAAAAATACACCATTACCTTACAATAACAATATGAAATTTCCCCAGTTCATTATTTACTTTAAGACAGTTATTTTTTTGTATTACCAGTTTTCTGACTTTTTACATTTAAATATGCAAATGAGGCATTATCTAATTACAAGTGAAATTTTTGCAAACATTTCCAGAACAGAAATCTGAGCTAAAGTAACCATCTAAATGTGTTTTTTCTGATGTTTTCTTTCCACTAGTTTAAAATAAGACATGTTATGGAAGCAAAATAGCCTAAGATCTCAAAAACTGCTATGTCATACTAAATACTATGTTCTCAGCTGGGGTGTCTCACCTTGAAACAAAATGAAAACCAAAAAATGCACACATTAACTTCAAATCAAACAATGCAACAAAAATACTTAAAGTGTAAAATAAATGAAAACAAGTATAAAACTCGCTGACTGGAGCCCAGCTTGTACCTATTCAGCCTTGCTATGTTGTATTACACAGTTAGAGGTAGTTTGGGCCACACAGTCGTTATTTAGTCTCACCATCGTTGAAGTTCTGCTCCAGGTAGTCCATGATCTGTGTTGGGTCACAGATGACATTTTCATCGTGGACGAGGACGGGCACCTCACCAGTGGGGTTCAGATGCATGAACCAGGGCTCGTTGTGTTCACTGAGCGGTAGACTCACATCGTACTCCTTACAGCGTAAACCTTTCTCTGCCATGGCCAGGCGCACCTGGAAAACAACACACAGTGCTTTCACCTGTGGAGCTGTAAATAATTTCATCTGTTTTTGTCTCCAGATCAGAGACATCTGACATCATAGTTTCCTTACTCTTTTAGCTGTCGTTAATTAAAGATAACAGCCAACCAGTTAACAATACAATGACTGCCAGCTTAACCTCAACTAGCCTCACTTAAGCCAAGACACACATTTATTTTGAATCTGTCTACTGAATCATAGTCTGACGTCCTCTGGAAGGCTGTTCCAGAGACGAGGGCCAATGACACAGAATGCAGCAACACCGTACTTATTCAGGTAGACATTAATAGATTCAAATTCAAATTAAAATGAATTCTAAAATGAACGGGAAGTCAATGAAGAGCCTTTAAAACCAGAGTAATGTGTTCTCCATGTTGGTGAGTAGACGCGCTGCTGCATTTTGGATCATTTGCAGTTTGTTTTATGACGATTTCTTCGAGAGGCCTGAGAACAAGGCAACACAGTAGTCACGTCTGCTGGAGATTAAAGCATGAACAAGTTTTTCAGTGTCCTCTTTAGATTAAAGAGGTTACACATGGGTAATGGTTCTAAGATGAAAAAATGCAGTTTTGGTGATGTTTTTCACTTGGGTCATTGTTAGTATAGCATGAAAACTGTTATAAAAACGTGCTCTGGTTATGCAGGACAACCATCGCTCAGCTTAGTCTTGGCAAGACGCTGGAAACATCCGTAAGTCCAAGCTGGTAGAAAAGAGTTCCACACACTTACATCCATGCACAGATGTAAGACCCAGACCTAGGTGACTATGGCTCCCTTTGGAAGGCTAGTGACTGAAAATTCCATTTTCTCTGATCTGAGGTATAGTTACAAATTTAGGCCAAAGCAAGTTTAACTTTCAAGATACAAAGGTCAACTTGGGCTCAAATTGAATCTTATAATCTTGGGAAGTTTTCTATGTATAAGTGAAGCAGTGATATTAAACACAAAGTGGTCACTTCCCCTTTGGGTCAGGATACTCTTTGCCAAATTTCATAATTGTATGACTATTTATGCCATTGTAGTGCCCTATTATTTGCATTTACATCATTTTGCCAGAAACTGAATGTATGAATAAGTAGCTTTAGAATCAAATTAAAAATATGTTATGGTATGGTCTTTAACAGATGAATAATTAGTATAACCACACAGTACATGCTACAGGAGAAGAACATCTGTGGAAGGATAATACAGATTAATGATCCTAAAAGAACCTTATTTACAGATTTGTTTTTAGTTGTGATCAGATATAACGCCACAACAGAGAATAGTTTTGCAGTAAAGTACGAGCTGATACAGATGTGAGCAGCAGCAGCAGTAATGACAGCGTCCACAGCTAAGATGTCTCAATACCTACTGTCCTCCTGACAAACATTACGACACCTGGAAGATATTACCTCATAACTATTGAGACCTGTGCTGATGAAGATGATGAGGAGGAGCTGTCCACTGATGTGTGGTGCTGAAACGTGAACACTCACCTTCTGAGAGTTGAAGGACTGAGTCCAGTGATACAGAGTCAGTTTGGATCCGCTTTTCTCTGCGATTGTGCCACATGTCTGATGTTCATCTTGTTCTGGGTCCTTCTCTATCAGAGCTGTTTGCTCTTCCTGGGATTCAGAGCTGATTTCGGACGCCATTTTATCTGTTACTATGTTGGGGGACAGCTGAGGTCGGCACACCATCCCACAGGCAGCACTATACTCCCCCTACTGGCTCGGAGTGGATCATCATCCGCCTCTTCATTTTTATATACAGTACATTCCGTTAAAAACATACATTTATTTTGCGACAGGATAAACATATATGTATAATTACTTTAACCATGTAATGTCTGCACTAACAAAAAAGCAATGGAATTTTTTTTCTTTATTTTTCATTTTTATTTTGAGGCTATAACAACAAAATGTGTATTTTTGAACAGACCCCAACTTATTTTTGAATAAAGGGCCTCAACAAAACAGTTGAGATGGTCCTTCCTGGTAATGGTAAAAAAGAAAGAGAAAAATCAAAATTACAAATCATGTAATGCTTGTAATATATTATTATAACAACGTATATTATAACGTGTGAAAATTGAATAATAGTATTTACCAGTAGTAGTATTATTTCCATGTATGTATTCTAGATATTTACCATCACCCTACTTTAAAACATATAAGAAAAATCATGCTGGTATCTTTTTTTTTTTCCATCAAATATATGATGGAATAACAATTAATATATGATTAACAACAGTGAATATGAATGATTTTTTATTTCATAAAAATTGTTTATTTATTATCTTAGCATCAGATGTTTTATTTTATTTTGTTTTTATTGTTATTTTACTGCGGCGACCATAAAAGGCCAAATCAACCATTTGGCATATTAAAAAAAAATAAAAATAAAAAAAATGATTTGACCCTGTATATATTTTTGATTTTTGATAGATTTCTTTTTTCCCTTCTTTTTTTTTTATATACATATATTTCTATTCTTTATTGAACAAACATAAGTACATTAACACAGAGAACTGTCCTGCCAGGGTTACATACATATGGAGAAAAGACAAAATTAAAGAAGACAAAAAAAAGAAAAAACAAAGAAAAAGTAATATGAATCCAGAGTAATGTATTATCTGTTCATACAAAATTTATAATTTATAACACATAATTTTAACTGCCTTTTTATTCCTAAGGTATCTTACTGTGGTGCCATGTTGTTGTAGGTCTTGATAGAAACATTTAGACTCCACCCACCTGTTCTTGTGAATGCAGAATCTTCCCAATACTAAAATTAACTGTACTATTTGTATGTTTAACCTGCCCCATTACTTTCAAAACACACAAAAATGTCTTTAACCTGTAACTGAATTGTACCCCCAGTTTTTTTTCCTTTATAAAGACATCCATCTAAAATATTCTCGTACACAAACAGTGATAAAACAAATGGCAGATTGTTTCTTCAACAAATTCACAGAAGGTACTAGAATAATCAATATCAACTCTAAATCTCTCCAATGTCTTTTTTGCTGTCTCTATGACAGTGCAAAAGTTTCGGAATGTTAGAATTTGTCCCCAACTTCTCTGCCAATCAATGTCACATAGCAGAGCCCAAAAGAATCTTATAAGTAGAGACAGAGTTACAGCTTGTGTGTGACTCCTGATGTAGTGTAAGTATTTGAACATTTATTTGTGGTTACATCAGTTTCTCAAATGAATGTGCCTCTGTCAGATGTGTCGATGATCCCTTAAAAGCTGCTTCTTCTTCTTCTTGCTAATCTTGCTAGTGGTTCCAGTAATAATAATAGTAGCAGTCTTGCTAATTTCATACATTATGGTGGCCATGGAGGTCAAAACACTACAGCATTTCAGAAAACATTTGGAAATGTTGTAGTGTTTTGACCCCCAGGGCCACCGTACTACATACATCATCACCAAGCAATACAAGGGCTAAAACATAACTAAGTATAAAAACTGTGATGTATAAAGACAACAGGTGGTTTACACGTGACAACACTCTCCACATATGGGGTGCCGTTTGTAAAGTGGCTCACGCTGAAAATAACATCAACATTTTGCCACATTTAGCTTCAAACAATGTTTAAAAAAGTGTTGTGAATTTTTTAACGTCACCTTTTACCACATTTACAGCAATATTTGTTAACTTAGATATATATTATATAGTTAAATCTATATATTAAATTTGGCACCTAAATGTTAAATGTTAAATCTAAATATTAAATCTAAATCTAAATCTAAATATTAAATCTAAATCTAAATGTTAAATCTAAATGCTAAATCTAAATCTAAATGTTAAATCTAAATATTAAATCTAAATCTAAATGTTAAATCTAAATGCTAAATTTAAATCTAAATCTAAATCTAAATGTTAAATCTAAATGCTAAATCTAAATCTAAATGTTAAATGTTAAATCTAAATGTTCTGGGTGAAACTAAATATTTAGCTAATATGCAAATTCACACTGCGGTCACTGGAAGTACCAAAATAAAAGCTTGAGATGGTCAGACTGCGTTTATAGAATCAAATAACGAATTAAAACCAACTTATCGGGGGAAATGAACACTTGAACATACATTAGCGTGATAATAACTACCTAAAATAACAAGAAACGTGTTTGGAGAAATTTTATTTGATGTGTACTGTGAGTTCTTAGTGTCCCTTCGGAGGGAATCACCTTGTTGTTTACAAATACTTCCGGGTAGAAAACCAGCAGAGTTTAGCTACATATATATATATATATGAATATCTCACATTTTTCACGTCACTATATCATTTAACATTTAGATTTAGATTTAGCATTTATATTTATATTTATATTTAGCATTTAGATTTAACGTTTAGATTTAGATTTAGCATTTAGATTTAACATTTAGATTTAGATTTAGATTTAGATTTAGATTTAATATTTAGATTTAACATTTAACATTTAGGTGCCACATTTAATATATAGATTTAACTATTTAATATATGTCTAAGTTAATAAATATTGCTGTAAATGTGGTAAAAGGTGACGTTAAAAAATTCACAACACTTTTTTAAACATTGTTTGAAGCTAAATGTGGCAAAATGTTGATGTTATTTTCAGCGTGAGCCACTTTACAAACGGCACTCCATATCCACACGACACAGCTCAACACTTCACCTCTCACTTTAACTTTTTTCCAGCTATGCAATAAATACTAATAATATAATATTTGGACAGCAGAGGTCGCTGTTATCTATTCATTTAATGGGTAAGTCACCTGCTGGTCTACACAGGCTGTTGTTGGTCAACCTCAGAGCAAAAAGTGCTGATATTAAAGGTCACCACTATCACTTAAGGCGATACTTATTTTTTACTACATTTTATGCACATTTTAAAGAGTGAATAACTTATGTGATTCATTCACTAAATAATGTCACTGAGTAATCTAATTGTTGAATTATTTAAGTTTTTTTTATATACATTTAAGAAGTCATTTTGAGGTCACATGGGCCAAAAACACATTTTGAATTCACTCACTGTTTTTTAGCTCTCATATATAGCAGAAATAATAAGACAATATTTAAGATAAATTGAAAAATAAAAATCTTAGAGTGCAAAATCAAACAAATCTTTACAAATTATTATGATTTCTAAGACTTTAAAGAGCTTTATACAGTTTTTAGTGCACTATATTATGATTTCACAGAATAGGTAATGGGGATTTTATTGATTAAGTGTGATCATAAACTCACCATTGATAATCACAGATAAATATTATGATGTATTATGGGAAATTGCAATGTGGGAATTCATAGCTGTGTAAAATCCGGCGCGTCTCTCAGATGTATGGGGGGGGCTGTTATAGGTAGGCCTATGGAGGTGCGTTATTTTGGGGGTGGTTTGAGGCGTCCACTGAGGGAGGGAGAGGGAGAGGAGAGTGGGAGGTCCCTGTGGCGTGACGTTGCGATTGGCCCAGTGTCTTTCCTCAGCAGGGACTCGACGCCTCTCTCTCTCCCTCTGTGATCAGTGGGTGAGAGGGGGGAGACGAGCAACACACCGCGGAGAAACCGGCGTGCGCCTCCGGTAAATGACGCCCACCATTCATACCTTTACACTTACCGTTACGCATGCCTCTTGTATTGCACATCCGTGTCTAGAAGTACCACTCCACTCTCCTCACCCTGCTATTTTCTCTCCCTCTAGTCATCATCATCCTGTTGGCTCATCCTTTCATCACACCACCGGTCCTGGAGCCACCAGCCTCGGTCCTGGAGACGCCTGAGTCTGCAGCAGCGCACGATCGGCTTTATTTCCAGCCTATATCTGAATGACGGGCGGAAGGTTTGACTTCGACGACGGTGGCACTTACTGCGGGGGGTGGGAGGATGGCAAAGCCCACGGACACGGCATCTGCACCGGACCCAAGGGCCAGGGCGAGTACGCCGGGTCCTGGTCGCACGGCTTTGAGATAGTAGGCGTGTACACTTGGCCCAGCGGGAATACCTACAAGGGGTACTGGTCCCAGGGGAAGCGGCACGGGCTCGGGGTGGAGAATAAAGGAAAGTGGATATACCGCGGGGAGTGGAGTCACGGTTTTAAGGGTCGGTACGGTATCCGGCAGAGCCACAACACACCTGCCAGATACGACGGCACCTGGAGCAACGGGCTGCAGGATGGATATGGGATCGAAACCTACGGCGATGGCGGTAAGAAACCCTGTCTTATGAATATGGCCCAGTGTTTGTTTAACGTGTGTGTCGCTTTAACGCTGTGGCTGATGATGTGTTATGAACCCTGTGTGTGTGTGAGGATGCTCAAACTGAGGGAGGCTAATGGAAATACATCAGTGCATGGATCTCCATCTGATATGATCTGAGTTGAATCTGATATTGCGCACTGCGCACCGTGGTCAAGCGCATCATCACTTACTCCCCCTTAAAAAACTATGACTTACCAGTCTTGTCATGTTAACTTGCAGGATGCAGTTTGAGATGTGGGTTCTTTTCCAACGCACATCTCATTTGGCAACTACCGGTTGCTCCTCATATGACAGTGGGAGGAGAGTGACTCCTGTTGCCAGCTCGGTGGCACCAGAAGGAGTTTGGAAATCAGAGCAAATCAGTGTGTTTGGAGCCAATTATAGCCAGACTATCACCTACTCCTCTATCATTTTCACATTAAACTGCGATAACACACCTCTGCAAGTCTTTTGCGTAAATGCCAGCATCTCCAAATGAAAAGAACTTTGAGAAAGTGCTACTTTTATTGGCAGCAAAGCCATTCTGCAAGTGTCAAGACACTGATACTTGTTTAAAAACTAGTGCAAATGTTTTTACACATTGGATGCATTTTCTAATTTCTGTGAAACTTCAAAAATGGAAGATAAAACACTTACAAGTATACAGATATCATCCATGCATTCAGCCATGTGATACACAGAACACACTCTTCGACACGAGAGTGAGAGGTCAGTGCTGGCCCCTCTCAGAGCTTTGATCTCACTAATCACTGGTGTGTTCACAGATTGTCTCGAGACCTGTGTGATCAGGGAGCAAACATCCTGATAAGCCCGCAAACACAAGTGCTCGCAAGCAATATCACAGACGGTCCTCTCTGATTATAAAACATCCAAGTCTTTGGGAGATTTGTGAGCATCATCTCCGCTAACGGAGGCCTTATGGTGCAGAGTAAATGCCTCACATATGATGGTTACAGAGGGCCGGGCTTGGGAAATCAGCTGATCCTAGAGGATCTACAGAACATCTGGCTGTCTGACCCTGCAACATCCTGATAACTTGATCTGCAGGGTCACCGATTTGAACTGCAGCGCAGAGCCAGCCTGTTAATCTCACACTGTTTATCCATCTAAATTCCTGCCTGGGCTGGTATATCATTTTTTTGTAAGATTCTGACCATTATGCCTTATTTAATTGTACTGGTCAATGAGATTCAAGTGCTGGCTTAACAAGCCTTTCTTATTATAAGCATCGGAATTGTAATATGATCCTCTGAAGAAGCTACAGTAGGACAGCACATGCTCATTGGGCTCAGCAGCACCAAATGGGATTAATGAAGTATTCCTCTCATTATGTGACTCATAGCAATTCCCTGTCGTCAGAGACAAACGGATGGTGGTGGATGTGCCTACTGTCGGTGGGGGAGTTATTGGCCGCCCTGAAAATAGGCTCCTCGCTGAGTGATTCACATTCATCCCAAGTGATCCTCAGTATCAGTACCTTAATCAAATCTCTGTGATTGAGTTAGTTATGCTCACAGTCCCAGATCTGAGGGGAAGGAGAGAAAACATTTCATTAGCTGACATACTCCGCACCCTTACAGCAAGGCTCCTCTGTGCTCCCACATGCAACGCTGTTTCAAGGATTTAGTGCTGATATAGAGAATATCTGGCCAACAGAATGCAGAGATAAACCTTCTTGTGACTGTCACCACAAGCACCAAAATAAATCCAAACTCAGTGTAACTGCGACGGTACATTTTACCCTGGTATGACTTAAAAGCATTCCTCAAAATAGGTTAAGCTGTTCAGATATTCACATCTTCAAATAATCTGCTGTTATCATCAGTGTGGGTGCAAAAACACCCCCCTTAAGGACTCCGTCATCTGCAGGAGCACTTTAAAATGTTTCCTCAGTTTGTGGAAATCCCACACTGCAGACATTTTCTAAGCTCGTACACTATTTCAATTGATTTAGATAAAAGACAGCCACTTTTTGGAAGCGGGCCTGGTGAGACAAACAGACTGTACACACAGGCAAACACACACACAAGCAGCTTGGGACCACTTTTGATTGTGCTTTATCATACCAGCCGATGCTAGCTGTCTCTTCTTGGAATTGATGGGTAACGGAGAGAGTTACTCACAGAGTGAGGCCTAATTTAATTTGCCCAAATAGTGCTATTAAACGTAAAGTCGCACCATTCTGAGCAACTTTTGTCACCTACATCTTCCTACCTCTTTACCTGATAAATACAAGACACTGTTTTAGTTTAGAGATGGTAAAAGAGTGTACTACCTAAAATTAAAACACTAAATCACAATAGAAGTGCCATGCCGTTTTTGCTCTGATATTCCTTTTTTAAATATCTGGCGAGAAAACACTTCTTGTCTTGTATATTTATATATTTTGCCAGATACTTAATACTCTATTGTTCTAAAACTGGGCCCAGTGAGTGACCCTGACCCGGGGAACCCACTGGTTATTCTGGTTGTTACTGGTTTTGAACATTAGATTGTGGTTACTGTAATTTGAAGCATTCCCTGGCACAAGAATTTCCTTCAGGATAGATAAAGTTCTATTGAACGGAATTGGATTGAATTTTTTAATACTGTGCAGGGTCCCCACGGTCATGGAATGCCACAGTCTAATTTTCCAGGCCTGGAAAAGTCATGGAATTAGTAAAATCCTTGAAAGTTTCAGAAAAGTCATGGAATTTGTTGTGTGTAATGAAATCAATTGTTCCAGTAATCTTCCATTAGTAACCTTCCATGTAATGTACTGTAACAGTAATTTATTGTCTGTAGCTCTTCATAAAATCTATGTTTCTGTGGATGATGTTGTGTTTACAATCACGTCCGTTTCCTCTTTTTCTCCCCAAACTCCACCTTCCTGTCGGTGTATGCCACCTAGCTGGTATTATGTTTGAAAAGAGTTTGAATCTGATGTGCTACAAAAATGTTGCAACAGTGTGATTCAACATGTAGGCTCATGAATCCCAAAGTTTCTATACCTATGTCCCACTAATCCTTTTAATTGTGCTGCATTTGTGATGTGGAACAATTGACAGGGTGTCACTCAGAGCGCCAGTGCGCACTTTGGTTACCTTTTAACTGCTCTGAAAGTAGACCATGGTAGTTCGAAGGTACAGAGCATTCTTTTTCCCCAAAGGAAATGACCAGTGTGCCAACCAAACTCTCGGCTGTCACTTCCCCACTTTGGGGGCTCTGCAATACAGTATAATTACCATTTGGAGAAAAGTGCACTGTGCAGTTCTGTTCTTATTATACATTATGAAAGGTCATGGAAATTTTATTGTAGGTCCTTGAAAAGTCATGAGAAGTTTTGAAATTTTGTAGAAACACTGACTGTGTGACAGTGTTTCATCCTATTTAGTAGCGGTTCCCAACATTGGGGTTAGAAACCCTCCAGTGGGTCACAGGATGAACCTGAGGGGCCTCAGGATGACTGACAGAAAAGAAGACAAAACAAACGTCTACTGCACAAAATAATGTATTTTCCTCTGAGCTAAATGCTTTTAATGAAGAACCAGATAGTCTGACCTCTAAAAGTATTAACACAAAACAGTTTGAGAAAGAAAACTCACTCTTTGGTGGCACTAGTCACAACTTATACACATGTGCAACATGTGATGAGAAGTCACATGCACATAATGCCTCATTCAAAGAGGCCTTGAGGTGAAAAGGTTGGTGTAAACAGTTGTTGTGACTAATCTCATTCACTCCTGTCTGCTGCTTCCTCAGGTACCTATCAAGGCCAGTGGATGGGTGGGATGCGACATGGCTACGGCGTGCGTCAGAGTGTTCCCTATGGCATGGCTACTGTTATCCGCTCTCCTCTCCGCACGTCTCTGGCCTCCCTGCGCTCTGAGCAGAGCAACGGCACAGTGCTCCAGGACCTCTCCTCCCCTGCAGACACACCAACAGGCAGTCGCGGCGGCTTCGTCCTTAACTTCCACTCAGACAGCGAGGTCGTCACCGGCAAGAAGAAGGGCCTGTTCCGCCGAGGTTCACTCTTCGGCAGCCTCCGGCAGTTGCGCAAGTCTGACTCTCGGACCTCTATCTCTAGCAAGCGCAGCTCCGCACGCAGTGATGCTGCCATGAGCCGCATCAGCTCCAGTGATGCCAACTCTACCATATCCATTGGAGATGGCGAGCTGCCGGATGAGGACCTACCTCTAGAGGACCATGTGGATGCCACCACGACCGAGACGTACATGGGCGAGTGGAAGAACGACAAGCGCAATGGATTTGGTGTTTCAGAGAGATCCAACGGGATGAAGTATGAGGGAGAGTGGCTTAACAACAAGCGCCATGGTTACGGGTGCACAGTTTTCCCAGATGGCACCAAAGAAGAAGGGAAGTACAAAAATAACGTGCTGGTGCGTGGAATAAGGAAGCAGTTGATTCCTCTTAAGAACCCCAAAACCAAAGAGAAGGTAGATCGGGCCGTGGAGGCGGCACAGAGGGCTGCAGCCATCGCCAGGAGTAAAGTGGAAATAGCAGCTTCCAGGTAATGTGTTCATTCATGCTTCATGTGTATGTGCATGTGGGTGTTTACTGTGTAAACACAAGAGAGACAGGGTAAACATCCTCAGGAGTCTATTGTCACCATTGAAAAGTCAGAGCAGTGGCCTGTTTGAGAGATATCTCCGGGTCTGATTGAAGGCCCCGTCTTGTGTAAGTGGAGTCCCATGACAACAGCCCCGACCTTTATACATCATCAACAGTCAAGGCTTTTGTGTAGCCGGTGTGATCATCCCTGGAAAAGGTTCTGTTTCTATTCTCTGCCCATATCTTTCATTCCCAGGCTGAGGGGTCAGGCATCTTGTGTGTGTGAGAGAGAGATTTGTGCGCCTGCGAGTTTATGCGTGTGAGCAGTATAGCCATACCTGCGCCCGCGCCAAGTGCGTCTCGTGTGCCCAATAATGATACCTGCTCCTCCTGCCAAGTATTGCTCTGATGTGGCATCTGCTCTTTAACAGGTGGATGAGATGTGACCTTTTCATTTAAAGCCTCCCTCCTACTGGGACACAGTTCAGTGTACGCTGCATCGCTTTGACATCCTCTGGTTTCGTAGCATCAGGGAATCATTAGACTGAAGACAGCGAGGATGTGTACAGGCTGTGAAAAGGTCTCTGTGCAATCACGCCTGTTTTGATTTTTTTTTTTTCCATTGTCTCCAGAGGTGCACAGGAATTTGCATGCATGAAAACATATTAGCATTTTTAATACGCAAAAACAAAGACCAAGTTCATTGTATTTCTGTCTCATGCACACACTCAACACAAAGAAAACACACTCATACTCACACACAAACAATAATTCTGTCAATGAATCAAATAATTTAAAGAAACAATTAACTATAATTCAACTTTAATCGATTCGTCTGCTCAGTTAGTCTTTGAAGAATAAGACTATACTGTACAATACAACTTATTTATTTCCTTGGATAGTGAAGGCATTACCCGCCCTCCTCTGCCTCTGATTGGCTAGTACTAGTTGCCTTCTCTGATTGGGCAAGAGGAGTGATACTGGTTAGGATTATGGTGAGAATGTGAGGGTAAGCCAACCAGAGGAAGAGTGGGTTGGGCCATGCCTTCGCCATCCTAGGAAAAAAAACTCCTGTAGAGTACTTGGGCACAGCATTGCTAAATGCTAATGCTAGCATGCTAACATGTTCATAGTGACAATGCTAACATGCGGATGTTTAGCAGGTAAAATATTTACCATGTTCACCATTTTAGTTTAGCTTGTCAACATGCTAACATTTGCTTATTAGCACTAAAATACTAGTGGACAAATTCGAATTTGACCTGATGACGGCACGAGATGAACTATTAAGGGATCACCAAAGTTATTACCATTCATCCCGCTGTGAACATGAACACATGCTCCAAATTTCATGACAATCCAATCACTAGCTGTTGAGACATTTTACTCAAAATTAGAAATGTCTTCATCATGGTGGCGCTAGAGGAATTGTCAGGGGACCAGCAAAGCTATTTTGATTCATCCTCTGGGAACCATGAATGTTTGCACAAAACTTTGACCTGCTGGGTGGCGCTACATTAAGAGTCAGGGGATCAACAGAGTCTTTAGGATTCATTCTCTGGGCCAGGCTTGTGCCAATTGGCGATCGGATCGTATATTGACGACACTGATATTAAGGCAATTTTAACTAACTTACTATCAGAACTAAGATGTTCTAAAATAATCTCTACAATCTGCACCCGACTCTGCATTTAAAGATGTTTCAGGTGAAGCAGCATGTCTTCCCACTGAGCCCAATTTGCTGTCTCTTTTCCTTGGATGTGACACTCCGCATCTCAGTTCTCCACGTGTCTGCTCAAGAGTTGTTAACCTTACAGATATGATTCAGATTGGGACATTAAAGATAAGGAAGTAATGTAAAGTGGAACATGATGCTGTAATATTGTTGCACCAAGAGTTTTAAAAGGATGCTGTTGTATGATTAGAGGAGACATTACTATTAGATTTTTTTACATGTTTAAATATTTTACGTAAAATGAAAAAAAAATATAAATCTCCTGCTCTGCGTTCTGGTAATGAATATTTTTCGCTTTTTTTTTTTTTTTTTGGCATTTCATAGATTAAATGATGAATTGTAAAAATAATTGCCGGACTAATTGATAAAAAAATAATGGTTAGTTGCAGCCCTATTACAGGCCAGTAGCCATCGCCAAATTTGAACAGTGCCAGGTGTGACGCACACAAAAAGCGTGCTAATAAATATCACAAATTATGATGTCATTGGTACCTTTTCCATTTTCTTTTTTTTTTCAATTCTCTTTTTATTAGGATTTTACATGGTTCACATGTTCATTGACATAACATTTCACCATTCTCATCCATTCATCCGTAAATTACAGTTGAATCTCCACAGTATGTCCAAGACTGTATAAATAATATAGAGATGAATGATTGGTCCTTCCACCATATTATAAGGCAATCTGTTGATACAATATAAGAACTAAACTTCGTAGAACAGGAACTCTGGGGTGCACCTTTTGCATTTTCATACATTCCCTGCCTGTCTCCTGACTCACTGCTCACTGCTCACCAGGCAGCATCTCTCATGTGGGGCAGTTTGTATTTTTCATGGCCCAATTTTGAAATATAGGCTGGTTAAACACAGCAATAATCAAGAGTTCACCAAAGTTAAACTCCACACAATGTTAAGATGCAATTTTGCCACCAGACGCAAATGTTTTACTCAACACTTTCCTTGCATTGAACGGGCATGAACGGCAGCCAGATATTCACCAATGTTAATTGTTTCTTCGATGTTGAGTGGCCACATTTAGAAGATATGAACATAGAAACAATTGAGCAACCTTACTCTGGGTACCATGAATATCAGTACAAAAGTAGTTGATGAGATATTTTAGTCATGGCCAAAGTGATGGATGGACCACCAAACTGACACTCCCGTCTTTTGAGCTACGTCACAAGCATAGCTACAAAAATATACGTATATATGTAGCCTGTTTTGAAAGTTTTTTTTGTCTGCTGTTCCGACATTTTTTAGATAGATAGATTTTTAGATATATATTGATAGAATAAAATACACACCCTCAATATTATGAGGACAGTGAACGAATAAGAGTACTTCGACTCAGAGCTGAACCCAGCCATTCAGCAATGCAGTAATAGCAGACTCTATGAATAGCAGGCTTTATTAAAATATCCAGACCTTCTTTTAAAATATAATGATTCCTCTCACGAGCGGGGAGAGGAAATGCTTTATTCTGCAGATTCCAAGGATATAAGCTAAAGATTACATAAGGTGGATTTAACATGCTTAATATTAAAACTCCTGCATACTCCACAGATAAGACCCGTGATATCATGAGTCTGTGTCTGTTACAGTGAAGACCGGTGAGGCTGCAACAAACCCACTGGGAAAAGAGAAAAATGGATAATGTGCTGAAAGAAAAAGCCATCAGATCTCCTCTTTAGCAGGAAACAATTTACGGCGGAAGGATACACATGACCTGATGCATAGTGCTAAAGCAGCAACAGTAAAAGCATTCAAGCTGATGCAAAGTGTTTATGGCAGCGAACAAGGTCCCCTGTACTGTAGTAAGTGATCAAATTACTGCCTGGTACGCGCCGCTCCATCATGTGCTGCTGGAAATCTGAAAACAAGCCCTTCCGTTCCCCTGACTGAAATCTTTTTAAGACTGTATTTGTGTTATAAACAGCCAGAATGGCAGACTGTGACGGCTGTGTGTAAGCACGTTATGTAAGTCTCATTATACAGTGCATGGCAAAAAAGATGCACTCGTATCGATCCAGTTCTAGTCACGTGACTCTCTGTCTTTGAATGTGGAGCGTACCCGGTGGATCCACAGGGAGGGGAGGGGGCCGGTGGGAGAGACAGAAAGAGGAGAAATGGATTGAAGGGAGCGAGGCCAGGGGATAAATGGTGATTGGATAAGATGGGGGATGCAGCGACTCTGCTGAGGAGGAGGTTTCTGAGGAGGCCGGAGTGGGCAGAAATGAACAGAAAGCAGAATTTAAAAAGGGCACAGAGGGGGCACATCCATCCCTCCCCCTGTGTATTACTGTACAGAAGAGCCATCCCATCAGCCTCTGGAGTGGAGCTGATGACCTCATGCTTGTGATTAACCAATCAATAGAGAGCTAGTGCCACGAGGTGGAGTGGAGTTCTGTGACTGTGACCCCCATTCACTGCTGTCGGCCTTATCTATGTAAAATGGACTTCTACACACACACACACACACACACACACACACACACACACACACACATTCAGTGTGCGCTTGTGTGTGTGTAAGAAAGCTGTGAACTGCGATAAGTGACTGTGCCATTGAACAGTTCACGGTGTCATGATGCTTCTCCCACAAAGCCTTTCTGTTACAGATCAGCAGTTTAGGTATCCTGGGTGGCCCGGTGGTGGTGTGTCAGTATATCCACTGTGTAATCCACTGTAATGGCCTTTGTTACACCTAAACTCGCTGTGTTATCTCACAACAGCAGAAGCGTGTGTGTGTGTGTGTGTGTGTGTGTGTGTGTGTGTGTGTGTGCGGTGTTAAAATGACCGCACAAAGTTAGTTTAAATGTCTGCATAGCTTATTCCGAGGTGAAGTTGATTAAGCACGCCGCCTCTACAACGCAAAGAATGATAAAAATGCTAAAACAAACACAGTGTAAGCCGGTCCGTGCGCCAAGGCCAAGGGTGTGTGTCCATTTGATAGCAGTGTTTGCTCTGCAGGCTCTAGTGAAAGGTTAACCAACACCTAATATGCCGGTCCTCTGCAGCAGGAAAGATATTTATATGGTGCTTATTTTTTCTTCACAGCAATCAGCAAAAAGTTGAGACTAATGATATTCAGGAGTGTTTAGTGTTTGCCATCATCACTTTTTTGCCTCTGCCAGCAAGGCTGTTTTTGGCCCTGTTTAGCTTGTCCTTATGCCACACACACATATATGAATAGATTTACTTTGAATTTGCAAACAGGACAG